GGGGTGGGTTCAGACAATAACACCTGTCCCCCCTGGGAAGGCTCAGGGTGCAGTGACTCTAGATGTTTGGGGCTGTATCTTGGCAAGAAAGTTGGGCCTTCCTCATTTTGAGTGTTTTCTTATCTCTAAATAGTATTCACAGCAGGCTGGATCCGTCCCGTACCTCCCTGGACCTGCAGTGGGCCCCGGGGATACTGTAATTGACAGGACCCCGTTCTTTCCCTCCTGGAGTTTGTGCTCCTATGGAGGAAAAATGAACTTTCCAGGGTTATCCTGACTGGAGCCTTAGTGTTTGGCTGCAAGTGTTTTGAGAAGGGTGAGGTTCTGGGTAAGAATGGGAGGTTTGGAACGAGGCGTTGCTGGAGTTGGCATTCCGGCAGGGCTGGATCCTGGGCATGGAACCAAACTTCTCTGGGCCTCAGTTTCCCTTGTCTGCAAAATGAAGAGACAAGTACCTCACTCAAATGATGAAATGAGGATGAAATGAGATGAAGTATGAAAAGTGCTGGGCTTGGTGCCTGACACACAGCAAGGGCTCCGTTGATGATGGTATTTAATCATCACATTGTCATCATACCAGGAGGACACGGAAAAATGTAAGGGACCATCTGCTCTTGTGGCCATAGAACTGGGAAGAAATTTTAGGGTTTCCCGTGTACCCACTTGCTTCTAAGGCAGATCTTGACCCAAAGGACTGATGCTAAAGCTTTCCCAGGACCTCCTGGGCCCCTCTGACCGCTGGTTCCAGTTTAGGAGTCTTCCCTCCTTCAGTGTTCTTGGAGGGTCAGCTGCCATCAGCCTGGTCTTCCCTTTCCTCTGGGGGCCTCACATCTTGGCCAGTCTCTGGTTACCTTGTCTCACCCTTGAAACACCCTGGAGTGAAATCTTTTTTAGAAGGCTTTCTGCCGCAGGACAGTGGGACGAGCACCCTCCCTGACAGGGCCTGCTGTTTTTCCTGTTCAAGAGTGTAGTCAGAGGCCTCTCAGATGGGTCCTCATGCTTTCCAAGCCTTTCACACCATCACCAGTCACATGGGATGAACCATGAGCCTGTGGCTAACAGGCTGTTTGTTCCCACTTTTCCTAATGGGAGGAGCTTCTCATCTGCGCTCTCTGGCCTCCCGTGCAGTACTGCTCTAAGGCACAGGAGGGCGCCACTGTCCCAAGGTTAATTTGAAAGATCATTCCTCCCACCCCCCCATCTTCGTCTAGGTGTGTTCTCATTGCCCGTTGAACAGTCGTCATCATGATCTGTGTGGCACCATTTGCCAGCATGTGACCCCGCTCCTCAGCCATGTGCTAGTATTTGTGGTTCTGGGCTCCTGTAGCTGAGAATGGCAGAAAAACACCAGTGAGAGAGTCCTTTGCCACTGTTCTCTGTAGACTTTACTCTGAGGCCCCCGAACCTCTCCTGAGAGTGGGCCGCGTGTAGGGCTCAGAGTGGTGCTGGCATGGTCCATCCCTGGCCCTCCGCTTCTCTTCATGGAGCGAAGTGTGACACCCCTTGAAGGTCTCCTGCTCCTTTCCCTCCTCTCCGGCATGAAAGGTTCTGAAATTAAGCCTAGCTGTTCAAGGCTACTAGTCTGTCTTTGATCTACATTCCTCTTTAATTGGTTTTTACATTTGCTAAGATTTCATGAGAAAATTTAAAAAAAGGTCTTATTACACAGAGGGTGCTAAAAAAATGTATACACATCTTGGGATGAAAGCTTTCCATTTTGCTGTTTGAAGAATGTGTCGTGTGCTTGTTCTGCTAACTCCTGTCTCACGTGCACATTGTTTGACAGACTTTGGTGGCGAGCGTGTAAACTGTTCCAGCACCATAGCAGAAGCAGCAGGACTCGTTGCTGAGCGAGGCCTCCCAGATCTTCCCTCGGGCACATCACACACGGTGCCACGCGGTCTCAAACTTACCACGAATGCGTGCAATTGGTAGGCATGTTGGAGGTTCTGTTGCGCACTCCCACCTCCATGGTGGTTGTTGTTCCACAACATTCTCGAGTTTCAAATACCGCTTCAAAATGGTCTCGCGCTCCTCGAACGACAACTGTGCTTCTGCCATTTCCTTTGACTGTCCTGCCTGTCGCATGATGACGCTAGCATTCATTTGATTAACGCCATGTTTTGAGCGAACGTCATCCTACACATTGCTACCATAATTCAGTTCAACTTCGAAAAGTAATACATAGATAACGTCTCTCTCTTTTTTTAAGTAAAGTTTATTGGGGTGACAATGGTTAGTAAAGTTACATAGGTTTCAGGTGTACAATTCTGTAATACATCATCTGTACATCACATTTTGTGCTTACCACCCTGAGCCAGTTCTTTCGTCCCGTTTACCCTCATCTACCACCCCCTCTCTGCCCCCCTTACCCTCTGGTGACCACTAAATTATTGTCTGTGTGTATGAGATTTTGTTTCTTTGTCTTGTTCCTTTGTTGTTTTTGGTTTTATATCCCACATATCAGTGAAATCATATGGTTCTCGACTTTTTCTGTCTGACTCATTTTGCTTAGCATAATCATCTCAAGATCCAATCATGTTGTCGCAAATGGCACTATCTCATCTTTTGTTATGGTGGAACAGCATTTCATTGTGTAATATATGTATCACATCTTCTTTATCCCATCATCTATCTGAAGGACACCTTGGTTGTAGATAACATCTCGTAAAATAAATGTGTATACGTTTTTTTTGGCACCCCCGGTAAATGAAGGTTAAAAAAACCCAGGAATCAGCAGAACTGAGTTCTTGCTCTGGGCACAAGCAGCTGTAAGAGGAATGGGTGTGGGAGTAAGGTAGGGAGCCCCATCCTGAGATGAGCTCTCAGCTTACTGCCAGGCGCTCCTCACCAAGGCTTTATAGTTGTGCCTGTCCCTAAGGGCCTGCTCAGGAAACATCTATCTGTTTGGAAAAAATAAAGTTATATCCTTACCCCCCCCCCAAAAAAAACCCCACAAAAAAACAAACAAAAAACAACAACAACAACAAAAAAACCAACCTACTCAGGGCTCTGTCATTTTACATAATCTCTGGCCTCCTTCAGTCAATGACACAAAACCAGTCACTAAGATCTGTCTAGTTTGTGAGTTTCTAAAGCCTCACCAATGAAATGTGATGTGACTTCATATTCTGAGATGGCCTTATGGGCAAAATCTGCTGGTCTGCAGAGTAATCGTCACAAGATTTTGAAGAAGCAATTGGTATTTCATCTTAAACTGGTATTATCTTTTGCTAAGATTCCAAAAAAAAAAAAAGGGACTTCCATAAATTGTCATTGTTCTTTGCTTCGTGAGGCCCAAGTTCCATAATTTGCCATAGGGATGGCTTGTCTCCCTGCTCCCCATTTTAAGCAACTCTGTTGTCCTTAGAGGTGACCATGTTGTTGCTGGGGTTTCCTGTCTCCAGAAAACCCTGTGGTGAAAACTGTGTGCCAAGAAAAGCCAACTTGATTCAAGGTCTAGGAGAAAACACCTGAAGTCTGAAAATAAGTGAGGCTTCCATTTCTAACAGCATTTTGCTGTTGCCTATCTGGCTGACATCTTCTTCGCCTCTTGCTCCAGGCCCGTTCCACCCACAACAACCCCTTCCGGCCTTACCGTTGGGGTTTCTTTGTCCCCAAGGACATTCAGAGAGCGTGGAAAGGACTGGAGAAAGTTGGGTGTACGCAGATGAGCTAAGGGCCAATTTTGGAGGCTGACAGTCACATTCAGATCTGTTCTGGTGATGTGGTCACTGCCGGGGCTCCTAAAAAAGGCTTATTTGCTGGTCATTGACAAGGTTCACTTTGGCCCCAGGATTTACGTCAGCCCTCAGGCATTCTTCCAGAAGAAATCAGGTGCCCACACCTACTTGTTTAAAGAGTTGACGTTCCTGTCCTTTGCCTGGGGTGGGACGTTTCTGGAGCAATCTGAGTAGCCCCCCCCCCCTTGTTGTTTGCCACGTGCTTGGCGGAGTGCTAAAGCCTCCTTGTTTCATCATCACAATAGCCCTTGGGATGTGAGCACTCATATTAGCCTCATTTTATAGTTGAGGAAACTAAGGCACACAGAGGTTTTGAGGACTTGCCCAGTTGACCCAGCCAGTAAATAGCAGGGCCAGCTTTCGAACCCATGTCTCCAATTCTAGTTCCCATTGTCGTAACCACTGTGTTATGTAGCCCTTCTCACCACCTGTTACCTGAGCACTTGCGACCCGCAGGGCCTTGCTCCCAAGGCACCTGTCTCAGTGAGGAAACAAAGTCCAGGTAACTGGTGATGAATGGCACCGATGTGGGACAGTCGGGCAAGGGACAGCGTAAGGCTGAGCAAGGCCAAGCCTCGGTGAGACAGTGAGCACTCGCAAGTTTTGAGGACAGCATTTTTTCCCAGTCCTGTCTGGAGTTACCTAGGAGGACTTCCTGGAGGAGTGATTTGGGCGGGGTCTGGAAGGAGGAGGGATCTGATGGAGGGTAGGGGTGCAGGGTGCAGAGCCAGGAGCTCGCTGCTGTGGTTCAGAGGGACCCGGGACGTGAACTTGGGGTCCTTTTAGAGGCGTCTTCTCCAGGATCTGGTGGCTGATGGTGTATAAGGGGATGAAGCTGAGGACTAACATGGGTGAGGCTGGTTGCTCAAACTTCTGGTCTTGTTGCTTGCCTGCTGTGTAGCCTGGGGTAAGCTATCCAACCTGTGTGCTGCAATTTCTTTGTAAAATGGAGATAAATGCTACCTCTTGGGGACGTGTGGACATAGATAACACCCATCGGGCACGTAGTGTGTGATGCCTGAAGCTAAGCAACCCCCCCAAATGGGTGACTGTTACTGTCAGCATATGAGTACAGTGTTTCCTCAGGGTTCTCTCTTGGCCAATGGGAGGATGAATCAGAATTTGGCGAGGCCTGAGCAGGTTGCCCGGTTTGGGGTGAAGTGAGAAGCTCATCTTTGTTAGGATGGACATGGATTTGACAGTGGCTCCTCCAAGAGGAAATGGTTCCCAAGTCCATGGCGTGTAGCCTGGGCCCTGGGGAACCCTTTGGATGTAGCCGTGATGGGGGAAGTCAGAGGTGGGAGGAGGCACACTGCAGGGAAGAGGGATGCAGGAGACAGACAACGAGTTGTGATGACAAGGATGCTTTGGTCTGCAGAGCCTAGGAGGATGTGAGGTCATGGGCTTGGGGAACTAGAACTGGAGGAGCTATCACAGTGTGGTTTTTGGGGAGGGGATCGGGCAGGAAGCCCAGGACAGAGGGTTAAGGAGAGCGGGGTAGTGACAGACACCAGTCCTGGGTGGACACCACGTGGTCAAGAGTTTCAGCAGGAAGAGGAAGGAAAGAGAAGAGAGGCAGGGGAAAGGAAAACATGTCTTAAGGAAAGGGAAACGTTCCACTATATTAGAGATCTGAGCATGCGGGAGGGCCAAGAGGAGCGGGAGGGACTCAGAGGGGAGGAGAAGGCACGCCAGGTGAGCTGGGAGGATGGGATTTCCCAGGTGCTGGCTTGAGTACTGAAACTAAAGATGGTTGGCCCCAAACAGGAAAACAACATGAAGTACTGGGAGAAGAACCAGTCCATCGCCATCGAACTCTCGGACCTGGTCGTCTACTGCAAACCAACCAGCAAGACCAAGGACAATTTAGGTACTGTCGCCCATGACCCTGTCGCCTGGTGCGGTGAAAACTCTCGTTTCCTTTTGTGTCCCAGGGCACAGTGGGTGTGGTCCCTGCTCCTTCCTAACTGTTCTAGGCGGAACCTCCCCTTGAGTTTGTCACTGGGGCCAGGGAGCTGATGAAACAGGCCCTGTGGTAGCTTCAGGAGGGTGAATTAGTTTCCTACTGCTGCTGTTACAAGGTACTACAAACTTGGTGGCTGAAATCAACATATACAGAAGGTGCCAAAAAAAATGTGTACACATTTTAAGAAAGGCAAAAACTATTGAAATTTTAATATTCAAATAGATACCGATAACAAAAGATGAACACAAGTTATGTGTGTACTTTTTTTTTTTGGCACCCCCAGTATTTCTTCTCTCATAGTCCTGGAGTCTCATAGTCCAGAAGTCTGAAATCAGTATCACTAGGCTGAAATCAGAATGTTGGCAGATGTTAGCTACTCCCTCCAGAGGCGGGAGGGGAGAACCCGTTCCTTGCTTGCCTCTTCTAGCTCTGGTGGCTGCGTCACTCCAATCTCTGCCTCTGTGATCACATGGCCTTTTCTTCTATGTAGCCAAATCTCTCTCTACCTCCCCATTATAAGGACCCTGTGGTTACATTTAGGGCCTTGGATAATCTCCCCATTTTAAGCTCCTTAGTTTAAGCACATCTGAAAGGTCTCTTTTGCCATACAAAGCCACATATTGACAGGTTCCATGGATCAGGACGCGGATGTCTTTGGGGGCCATGATTCAGCACAGAAGGATTAAAATAATGGATCTTCTCCCAAATTCTCTGAAGCATACAGTTCTTTGATCTAGTAATGATCCTGTTCACATTTTCTCCCCCCCCCCCCACTTTTTTTTGAGCCTTTGGAGCAACTCCTATCTTTGATCTCACGAATCTGTGATTCTAGGACAAGGTCAGCAAAACAGAACTACACCCCAGCGTTAACGGTCCCTGGGCACATCCACATGCAGGGAGAGATGCCAGGCTTGGCAGGTTTGGGGGTTGTCCCACCACAGCCCGACGTGAAGGAGCAAAGCTTCACCCAAGCACACAGTTGTTTGCATGTTCCCCCTCCTCTATCACACCCATTCCTGCGGGCCATTGATGCTGCCTCCACCAGGAGCCTTGGTTCACTCATCTGTGTTTACAGCATCTCTGATGAGGAAGCCAGATGTACCATCTGGTCCTCCACTCCTAAGATCGCCTCCTACCTGCGGATCCCTGAGGCCATTCCCCCACCCTCCCCCTTTTCTATAATTGTACCACTTTTGTGTTTTCTTTTGTGTAAGGCTGTGTAAGTTTTAAACTAAAAAGAAAATTACAATAATCCTAGACAAAAAGGCTGCGGGAGCACTGGGGTGGGCTCCCTTTTAATATCTGGGATTCGCAAAGGGCAGGAGTCCATGGCAGCCCCAACTATGACAGTGTCATCAGAACCATGTGCCTGTTTGCCAAGGACACATTCCTGGTTTCATTTTATAACCCGCTCACCCAGCCTTTGCATTAAGACTACGCGTGAGACACAGAATAAATGGTGGCTCCCTCTCTCTCTGCAGAAAACCCTGACTTCCGAGAAATCCGCTCCTTTGTGGAGACGAAGGCTGACAGCGTCGTCAGACAGAAACCCATCGAGCTCCTGAAGTACAATCAAAAGGGCCTGACCCGCGTGTACCCGAAGGGACAGAGGGTGGACTCCTCCAACTACGATCCCTTCCGCCTCTGGCTCTGCGGCTCCCAAATGGTGGCGCTCAATTTCCAGACTGCAGGTATAGGGGGGACTGATGGTGGCTAGTAAATCCAGGATGATGGCGGGGTCATTCCAGGCACAGTCTGCTGGGGCCACCAGTGGGACGTAGTGTCCTGGAATGTGTGATGTGTCTTAGGACCTGGTTCAAGCAGCATGCTCGCGTGAGGCCCATCGGTTGAATGGAGTGATAAAGGGGACTGAAAGGGATGCGTGACAGCGGGCCCTGTGATGGCAAGAGACAGACACTGAGTTAATCTGGTTTAAGAGAGAAAGGAAATGCATTAGCTTGTGGAATCAAAAAGGCTAGGAGCTCTGTCAGCTTTAGGCACAGCTGGATTCAGGTGTTCAGTGGCTTTCCTCAGCAAGCTCTCCTCTTCTCCTGACCTCTCTCTCTTTGAAGGCTTCACTCGCAGCCTCTCTTCCAGACATAGTCACATGCTGGGAGAAACCAACAAGCAAAACTCTTTTACACAAATGGTAGCTTAAATCACAATGTTGTGCATTTGTGTCATTATTTAAGCCTCTTTGGGGGAATCGGTTCATCTGCAGTGTCCTTTCTATTGTTCTTATGCCTGCAGAGGATTCCACTGAATGGAACCATCATCTATTCAACCGTTGCTAAGGCATGTTTAAGTTACTCCCCGTCCTTTGCTATTACAGCTGCATTGCCTTCTGTGATAACCTTCCGAGAGCATCGTTTCACATCTGTGGGACAGAATTCTCAGGAGTCCAGGGTGGAGGCAGACAGCACTGGCGTTTTGATCAGCTTTGTCCTGAGGACAACCAGTGAACGCTTGTACCCAGTGGTGCCTGAGCTGAGACACTCGGCCATGTGCCTCCAGACAGTTTGTGGGTGGAAATTCTAATTGATAAAGTGTTTGAATCCACCCTGTCAGCATAACTTCACCAACTTAGTTTTATCCATTGTTGCTCATCAGAGAAATGAAAATTGATGTTACATTGTCATTAGAGCTTCCCTTATTGGCACTACTCTTATTACGAATCGCACGAACCCGTTGCTCATGTATTAAGGAAGCATTTGCTTTTCCTTTTTCACAAATGTCTGTTTATGCTTCTGACCCAGTTTTTCTAATGGGCTGTAGGTATTTATAGCATGCATTTATCAGATCTCTTAGATAAATATATACATCTAAAGTTAACCTACTGTCATTTGAGTTAAAATAACTTATGGAAAAATTTTTCTACATAGAAATTTTTAGCTTTGAGTAATAGGATGTCATTTTTTTTTTTAACGTTTCTGGATTTTGTGTCATACATACTTGGAAAGGTGTTCCCTGGTCTGAGACTTTTTTTTTTTTAAAGCCCCTATTTTCTTCCAATAATATGGGTTTTCAGTGGATTTTTTTTAAAAACTCATTTTGAGTTCAATCTCTCTCTTAACAAATGGCTCAAATTATTTTTGGAAAAAGCTGTCAGTCATTCCTGACTTAGCCCCTCCTGGCCCAGGAGGCCAGCCTTTTCCTGCCTCACTTACAGCACCAGTGCCCTTTCCTTCCCAGATAAATACATGCAGATGAACCAGGCCCTGTTTTCACTTAATGGGCGGACGGGCTACGTCCTACAGCCTGAGAGCATGAGGAATGAGAAATACGACCCCATGCCGCCCGAGTCCCAGAGAAAGATCCTGATGACTCTGACGGTCAAGGTAAGCCCCCCTCTCCTCCTCCCAGGGAGTCAGGGCTGTGTGGCATTGGGAGGGTGCATGCCTGTACCTAGTGATGATACCTGTCGTCTTGTTTACACCATCCTCCAGGGTCATTTTAGAGGGGAAAGGGAGGGGGAGAGTCCATAATTCATCTTGGTCACCTTACCCATGTCATCTGCTGCACTAAGGTATGAATCCATCTCTTGTGGGGTTCAGCATGGCATCTCCTGGGGCCCAGTGAGGACATTTTCTGGCCAGAGAAAGAAGGAAAGAAAGCATCTGAGAAATGGCCATTGCGTCTTTATGGAAGGGAACGTTTTCCCCCACACTGGCCAGTGTTAAAGGTGGAAGTTTTT